CTTTAGGGTGATGATTGTCTACATGTAGAAGTACAAATATGATAATTCAGCTCTGTTTCTGGGTCCTAGGACACAACATCATTTATTCTAGATAGTATTTCCATTTTTGTCTATTTGTTACTTTCTTATGTAAATTAAAATTACTAGGAAAGAATCATATTTGAACAACTAGTAGGTTTCCACTGAAAAGTGATAGTGCTGCGACTGCCACAGCATTGTAAAGCACAATTTATGGACGAAGAACAGTTCAGAAATTTGGTGGTACTACATTAGGCAGTCATTGTCAGCCACTGTAGCAGAGAGCCTGGTTTTCTGAGACATTACAGCTTCAGGAGCTACTTAAACTAGTTTATACTGTGTGTAAAATAAACATCATCTATGTGAATGTGAACTGTTAGAGATCTACACCTACTTCATGCTTATGCTGTATTCCTTTAGTACTCTCTAATTATAGGGACCAACAAAACTGGCTAGACAGTACTCTTATGGTTAGCATTTGTAGAGAGGAAGCCTTGAACCTTGATTTCCCCTCACCTTCTCAACCACTGAAAAGGAATTCAAAGTAGAAATAAAATACTGCCAACCTTATCTGAAACTGATATAAGAGACAGTTTTGCTCTGATGTAAATGAGATTAAACCCAAAGGACTAGAAAACTCACAGAGAATTTATGGATCTCACCTATTTTCTTCTTTTTATTTCTGAAAATGAGATTGCAGTAGTAACTAAGCCTAGAGCAGTCTCAGAGCTTTCTCTTTGGTCCCTCGTATGTACATAATTGTTAACAGCTCTGTGCCGGCTTCTCTCCATGAGAGTTACAAAGGAAATTTCAGAGTTCCACCCTCAGATCCACTCTTGCACTGATTTTAGACAGTGAGGGCTCAAGTGTGGTCCAGCTCTCCCCCCTGCAGTCACAGATTTCATGACTGATCAGGTCACCTGTTTAACTCTACTCCAGAGTCCAAATTAGAATGTTTGGACTTGCAATTCCAAATTATGTGTCTAATATATTCCGGTTCAGTTAAAGTTTAGGAACCTAAATAATTTCTTTAATCTTGATCTGGTCATCATCCTCCACCTCTAGTCATCCATTCACTAGTCACCTAAAGCAGAGGTAATTCCATTTTTCTTTCAAGCTGAGTTTTTCAGTCTTTTAATTGGTATCCAGTTTAGGTCACAGTGAACAGGGAGGATAATGAATAAATCATTATTCTTCCTCCATGCTTCATCTGGTCTTCCCTGCTGGTTACTGCTTCCCTCACTGTATTATTGGAGCAAATGTACTTCAACTTTGTGTAGATGTCAGAGAAGTCGACCCACATGTGCTGTAGCTAGTGTGTATGTAGCATGTTGTCACCAAAGCAACATCTGTCTGATGACTCAGAGTAAAAGTGGTTCTGTTTGTTCTGTGTCAAAAAGAGAGAAATGCTACTTTGATGTTCTAGCGTGCATCAGAGTACCAGACACATGCACAACAGAGACAACGGCAAGCAGCACAATTTGGTTTCGTTCCACACATTTTTCCAAATTTAAAAAGAAACCCCAAAAAAATCTCCCCAGTTTAATTTTCTAAGCAGTGAACATGATTTAAGTGGCACTCCTTAAAAAAAAAAAATAGTCCTTCCCCCTTCTTCAAAGTACAGACCACCCATAAAACTTTTTCAACTAATCTTACCAAAAATGATGATGGCAGGATCTGCCCATTTACGCACAGGAAGTAAACTGTTGAAATTTGACTTTTCTAAACACATGATTTTCAAATTATCACAAGTGAGCTTTTCAAAACATAAAGCAAAATCAGTAGCAGAATGCTAAGGGCTACAACAGGATTTTATTTTTGTTGTATGAAAGTCTTCAGATGACGTTCACAGCTGACTAGTGAATTCACTATTCTCGGCTCCCAGCTTCACACACTTTTAAGAAATATAATTTTCTACAGCTGGTTGCATATAGCATTCTTTGAAAATTAGGAACCTTTCAGGTGTTTCAACATAAGCCTCCAGAGATTAGGCACCAAATTATATTTGTCACTCTACAAAGCATAAAGCTAAAAGTCCAGCTAAAGTCAACTACGATCCAGATGAGCTGCAAAGCTTCTGCCAATCATTCAGGACGGCAGCAGGGCCATGATGCCAGAGAACGTGGGGACTCGGGGACAGATGACACAGTGAATACTTCTGGGTCCATGCCTAAGTAGATTAGGGGAAAGAAGAGCCTCCTGCTACTTAAGCATGGAGATACAGCTTCCAGGGAGGAGACAGGATCCGCCAGGAGGAAAGCTTGCCAAAGACAGTTTCTAACAGCCAGCTCAGAAATCATCTTGTGATTTTAACAACCAGTTTTGCTGAAATGTGCTCCAGCAGAGTCCTGCAGCTAGTTATGTTATAATGGAAAGAGCCTGTAGCCAGTTTGTAATCCAACTGCCTAAGAAGAGCAGAAATTAAAGGGGATAAATCCACTACACCCAATGTGCCAGCTCAGACTCACCACTCATGAAGGCAGAGCACAGAGCACTCTCTTCAGACAAAGCAGCAGACAAGGTCTCCTGCCACAGCAAGAGGTGCACTCTTCAGCAACAGGCAAAATCTAACCCTCTGGATTGCCGAGTCAGCTAAATTAAAATGTCATCCTCCCGCAATAGAGTGTTACTGCAGTCTTAGTCTGCTCATCATCTCTATGACGAGTTTTTACTGCTGTTTGTGCAATAACATCCCATCTTGAAATGGTGTTTGTTAAACTTGCACCATATTTCATTAGCTCCTGCCATTTCCCATCACAATCTCTTGGAATTGCAGAATGTTATTCAATTCAGTTACTATTTGGATTTCTTCCAGAGCTGTATGGCTCTGAGAACAGCACACAAAATAACAACATTGGCTTGTATTATTTTCAACAGCTCCCTTTGTTGTTTTCTGATGATGATAAATGTGTGGTAAAATAGCAGAGAATGTAATCAACAGTGTTGATTTTGTATTCACCTATATTACATTCTATTATATCCTTTGCAGTTTTAGTAGTCTATGCCCTTTTATATTCCTAACACTGCAGTTGTTGCTATTACAAGGACAATTTTTTTCTCACCAAAACTAAAGTGAAACTAGAAAACTTCTGAATAAGTCTGTTGCAGAACAGAGAACAAAATTTAGCCCTCATTTTTCTCTGAAATTTTCAGCAGTTCCTGAAAAACACTGAATAAATGAAAGGCAAAATAAAAAGATAAAGTACTCTTATACTTTTCACAGTGAATGATTGATTTCTTAACAGACAGAGCAACATGAACCTTAAAAATAGAAGGTTTCTTTGTATGCCTATAACATGGTATCTTGGGCTGAGCAACTATGGCAGCTCTAGCTTATCATTTGAGGTTTAAAGGAAACCCTCATGACTTGAATCATTACTCTGGAGGTTTTTGTGTGATTCATCAGTACGACAACGTACCCAACATCTTTGCAGGGTCATGGTATATAGAACCAGCCAAACAGTTTACATGGAGAATGGGGTTGTATCAAAGGGTTTGACATTGTACTAAAATTTCTCTCTGGCTTTACATGCGGGATCCATATATTTCTTTTGTTCATGTAAGTGTCTGACAAAACCTTATGCCAGTTCTGCAGTAGGTGTAAGACTGAAATCCTGTCCCTAATTAATCTATTAAGAACATACATTTATTTTAATTTTAGTCTCAGCTTGTCTTCCTTTTTCTGCCTGTAGCTTAGAAACTCAAAGCTGTTACTGTGAAATTGAACAATTTAGTGACTGATGTTACAAATTTTTTATTTCCCAATTTAATATAAGGAGGAACACTTAAAAAACCCCTGTGCCATATCATTTTTGGCAGGTCTGTGCTGTTGAGCCCATTGTCTGGGGCTGGGTTCTGTGCAGTGCCATGCTGCAATAGCGTGGGCTACGAGGGCTGTATTTTATAGCAACTTCTCTAGACCAGCTGCAGAGAAAAAATCAGCAATAAAATTCAAATGATGTTTGTCATAAGCTTCTGCTCTTTCATCGCTACATTTGTGTACATGAAATGTAATATACTAGTGAGAATGTCCCCTGACATGGAGCTGATTTTTATATCCTTTAAATTTACCACTAGCTTTACAGATGCTGCAATCTCTTTTATTCCAGTTCTAGCAATTATAACGTAATCTGTGCTAACACTGCAGATTACTAGGGCAATTTTGAAGATAAATGATCACATCTCCATTTCCATCTGCTGGTCCAATCAGGAAAATGGTGAGAATAAAACCTACCCCTTATATTGGTGCATTTTGGTGCTTGTCTGGCAGTCTACTCAGTCAACTGTATTGGGCCATCTAAAGAACAATTCCCATGAAGATATGAAGAAGGCACCCAATTCTCCACCGCCTCATGTCTCGATTTTACAGCTATACAAAAGTTCAAGCATCTCCATTAGCAGGAGTACTCCCAGACATGAGTAATGTACAGCTTTTTGTGTTTAATAGAAGGTTTTTCGAGATGTAAATTTGGCACATTTCTGTCCCTACAGCTGACATAATGACAAGCTCTGGTCAGAGTCCTTAGCCAAGCCACAGGCAGTCTTTCTTTTCCAAGCACTGTGATACAGAAAGGGCACTGCTGTTTCATCTGGTTTTGTTGGTCTAAATTATATCCAGGTACCAGTTTGCAATAGATGGTTGCTTATAAAGAAAAATAAAAAGAAAACCAAACAAACATCTTCAGAACATGCTTAGATGTCAGTTGATTTTAGAGCACAAACTAAACAGGCAAAACAAAACAAACAGTTCTCCCTGCCAAAGCAGACAGACTTCTCTCTGCTTTTCTCCTCCCCCTCTCTCTCTAAAAAGCCTGTCTGAAGAAGATTTTTCAAGAAAATTAGGTTTGCAAATCTCCTGAATATAATGGTATCAGGTCATGCATAACTGTTCAGATATTTCTTATATCATCAGGTGCAAGTTTCATACCCTTGAAATGTGTTTCAATGACTAGAAAACAAAAATATTTGGGGGATAAGCAAACTAGAAGAACAATGCAACTGTATTTTCAAGGGAATTATTTTCAGCACATTTCTACTAGTAATTATTTTTTGTTCTGGTTTGCAGCGCTTCTGCTTCTGGCATCTCATCTCCTTCACAGCAGCCAGCAATTGAATTAGAATCGTTGCTGAACAGCAAGAAAATCTGTCATAGAAGTCATGTTGACAGACAACTTTGTTCTCTTCTCATTTCTATTTTCCCTTTATTGTATTTACATCTGAAAGTCCACACCTAGAAGTGAGCAGAAACAGACACAAATCATATTTGTCTAGCCTCTTCCTCCTTTGTCCTGCTTTTGTCTTTAATAGAGCTTGCATTCAGCCGCTCGCGTCGGGGGGAAATAACCAGCCAATCTTTACTACCCACGGTGTCTGGCAGCACGTCAAAAACCTACCTTTTCTCCAGCACACTGCGGTAGTGGTGCATGTCTCCCATTATCATCCTGAATGACTAACAGGAGTAAAAGAGGATTGAAATCTTTCTGTATAAATGCTGGATGTCACTGTTTCTGTGTATGGCGCTGTGATGCTCAGTGTGACGTCACAGCGCCAACAGCACCTGGTCCATGGACCCATCGCTGAAAGGCCAAACCATCAAAACTCCCTTTCTCAGAAAACCACTGCAAATAATGTGTGGTGAGGGGGTTGGGTTGTGGGGTTTGGGGGTTTTTTCCCCTTGGACAAGCCCAACGTTTTACTACATAACTCATTGTTTATATAATGCCTTCACAGACACAAGCAGGCATGGAGCAATCTGTAAAACTGACTGACAATAAAAGCTGGTAAAAGGGAGTTCTCCCCCATGACATTTCATATTCTAAGGTTATAAAAACATTGAAAATCCTAAGAATGAGAGAAATTAAGAAAGAAGTAGTGAAATAAACACATCTATTCCTCTTTCAAACTCCAAAATGTACATGCTACCAAAGATTACCTCCAGACAGAACCACCCTTCAGAAGCACACAGCAAGTTTGATGCAGCTCATATCTTCCAGAGACAGAATACTTGCAGATAAAACACCTCCCTTCAAAATTAAAGAGGAAAGAGCTGTTTCTGCAGAAATCAACACATCCTGTTTGCTCTATAAAGCACTTGTGGAGGACCACTCAGCAATCTCACTGACTGAAGCCAACTTATAATTAATTCACCAATGTCTTTTTTAATCTGTGGCATCTCAGATAAAAGTGTTGCTGTGGAACAAGCTACAAATCCCTTTGCAGCAAGAATGGATCTGGCTCAGGATAACATCCCACAGGTTCTTCCAGGGAAGCAAACGTTTGTGGGTCAGTGACATGCAGTGTGGTATGGACCATGCAGTGGACCCAACTTCACAGCCCTGCATGTATGAATAATTCAGGGTTACGCTGACAGAGACAGAAATGAGCTCTGTCATCACTGATGCCAAAGAATGAACACCACCATGCCAAAACACCACCTTTGTGTTATGGCTGCTTTAGGGAAGTTTCCTTCCCATTTCTGACCCTCCACAGAAAAAAGACAGCTGCCATACAGTTATGTTAGGAAAGGAATGAATACAACATATTTCCTATTCTTCTGCACCCATAGAACACACTTCACAACTAGACCTGGTTTATTAAAGAAAATTAAAGATGGATCTAAAAGCCAAGCCAAAGTGCTAACAAACTTGTGGAGCCAGATAAGCCTAGGTAGTCATTGTAAGTGAAGAGCATCCTCACAGACCTATGGGACAATTCTTTGGACAAGTTCATTCAGATTTGTTTTTTCTGTAGCATCTCACATCTTTCAGGTCTCTGAATTGTTTCCACAAGCTTTGCAGATACAGGACCTGCACAGTACCGATTGAAAACAAATACTTGTTCTTAAAGCAGAAGCTATGTTCTCTGTCTCCAGGACAAACTTCACCATTTGCACATATTCATGATAACTTTCCAGTCATATTTACATTTGTATACTCAGAAGTCAAAAAATATATAAAAGATGACAGTCAAACACAATTCATAATCTATCCTCTTGCATGAAAACAATGAAAGACCAAATGTTGAAAATTGGAAAATGCCATTTTGATATTTCATTCCTTCATGCAGCATGTGTTCTTTCCTCAGTACAAAGCAAGATTCACTGTGAAGGGGAATATTTTTTTCCTTCAAGACAAGTAGTCAAATGCAGAAAGACATTTTCTTTCTTGTGACAGTGACAGCTTCTCAAAACACATTTTCTTTGAATAAACATAATTTTTACATACTCCCGTGATATAACATATATCAGGCCCATTACTGACACAGTTACTGATATCATGGGTAGCTTTAGACTAAATTTCAGCACTAAGATAACCACTAATCTTACCAGTAGGTCAGATCACATGGAAAAAGGAATGACATGGGCTTTGAGAATGTGGTCCAGCTTAATCACATTGATGTCAACTCTTAGGATGAGCTTTAAAGCCAGAACTCTCTGATACTTGGAACTTTTCTATTTTACTGTCCCAATTCATATGCTTTAGAGTGATGCACTTTGTGCAGTGTCCACTTATGCACATCTATAGATACAGATCACTCCAAGTTAAGCAGAAACAAGATACATGCAGAGTTTCATGGGTCCATAGATCTGTTCATGCACATGTACAAATAGTCTAGATTGTACAGAACTCATTTTAGAGAAATAGTATGTGTTACTGTGCAAGTATTTTGAAACAACAAAAGTCAATGTTCTCTCACTCAACAAAATGTTTGGCATGAAGAGTGGTTGTAGGAAGCCATGTGTATGGTTAATTTACTGTCTGATAAAAGTGAAATTGTGAATAATTGTATTCATTGAAATCTCAACAAGAATCAAGTGAGTATATTTTTTTGCTTTTTAACTAACCTTGACATTCAGATCACACACAAAACTAAAGAGGGTTTGTATATATGCATGGGTGCATATGATCACTTGAAATGTTATTGTGATGAGGAGAAATTATCTATTACTATAGAAAATAATTCTCATTACCTTGTCAAAGCCTTTCAGCTGGATGTTTTTGCCTTGTAACTTCACAAATGACTATGTGGAAGAAAAAATATTCATCTCTAAAATCCCATGACATCAGTACGCCACACAAATTTTAATAATACTAAAGTGATCTGTCCTCTTCCCTTTCAAGTCACAACACAGAAAAGAATTGCCAGATGAGTATTAAAGGGGTTTGCCTTCACATGCCACTTTTTCCATTTGGTTTTGTTTAACACATGTCGATGTCTTTAAAGTGCAGAGAAACCACTGCTAAGAAATAACTGGCCCATGGGACTGGAAAGGTGATCTGAAGGTTTGCCCTGCTGGGTCACTTGCTGTGTATCCGGCTTACGTCTCTGGTTGACAGTAAATTAAAATTACTGCCATTTGACAGGTGTGCAGCAGCCTATGCAAAATGAGTTGGTGTGTCAAGCGCTGCTGTCGGTGGGCAGGTGCCAGTGCTCCCCTCAGCAGTCTCAGGAGAGAGCTCAGGAATGGCCCAGACACAGAGCAGGGTCTGCGCTTTCCCTCTTACAGGTGGTCCTTCCACTTCACGGTCGAAGCACGTGGGCAGGACCGCAGGGGAAAGGACTTCACTCCATGTGTGGTGCTACTAAATAAGCACTTTCACTTTCCCTGATAGCAGCTGGCTATGTGCTATAAGTTAAGAACTTAACATGTGAATTAAAATATGAAAATTAGGGGAAAAAATCATCAGGCCATTATGTAAATATTAGACATCATCCTGATAATCTCAACATAAAAATATGTATAAAAATCTAGATCAGTGATTAATTGTGGGAGACCATCATGCCTGGTTTCTTTCAGTACTGAAGTGGCAAACAGCTCCTCACTGTAAGGAGTCTAGAGACAGCTTTTTATATGCTCTCTGTGGGAAGCTGGATGCCTTCAAAGGAGTCAGAAGGGAAAAACACGGGAGGCATTCTGGTTCTGCTTCTCTCTCTGCTGTGGCCAGCAACACCAAGAGGACTTGTTTGTAAGAAAAGAAAAGTAATCCCAAAGTGATCAGATGAAAAACAGCACAAAAATGCAAATGAAAAAAGATCAGTTAAAAAGGGGGAAAACATTGACTTCTTCAAACTCCCAGAAATCTAAACCTGATATTATAACATCATTGTAGAAATAAGTGATGTATCCTCAGTTGGAATTATTTGCTTTGTCTCCATTTATTTTTGTTAGAAATATAGTAAGCATTTACCTTAATGTAAGACACAGGGAACACTAAATTACCACAAAATAAGAAATGGTCTGCAAACTCAGTGCTGACACTATGAAAAAGACTGAGAAAAATCCAGAGAAGTAAAAATGGGTAATGATACCACTTTCAGGTGCATGAGAAAATAAATATTAAAAAAGGGAATCAAACTGATGCTTAAGAAAAATCTAGAGGTAACTGGGAAAACAACAATATTTCACCATAGGCAGGTCACACAAGTGGTTATTGAGACAGAGTATAGAAAGGTCAGAAAACATTGGCACAGAAATTGCTTTCATTAAGTGCTCATAAAGTAGGGAAAAAATAAAATCTGCTTTATGCCAAGCTGATATATCCTTCTTAACTGAAATAAAGTGGTTTGTTTCAAGATTGTTCTTATATTTGTGTTTTTTTCACTTTCCTTTAGTTTAATTTAGTTTATAATAATCAGTAAAAACAACTACATTAAGAATCAAACTAAGTGATATGCAAAGAGTCCAACCAGCCCATAGCAGTCAAAATTTAAGGAATTTCCCTCATCTTTGCCTGAAACATCTCTGCTTTGCTCAAAATAATTACTCGACTATTTAGAACATAAGTTTATTATGATTGAGAAGTCTATGTTTGCATACATGTCATTTCTATAAACTGCCAGGTACAGGACACCAGATTACAGAGGCTCATTTGTCCTGTCCACTGTATCAATGTCTATGCTTTTTCCAAAATTATAGTCTTGCTAGAATTTCAGACATATATCTATTTCTTTTCCATCTTGTGCTTTCTCAAAAGTATTTTCTTCCTGCATTTTTATGCTTTGTCTTTTGCAGTGTGTAAGGTAGCTAAGCAAGGTCAATTGCTGTGTTAAGAGTTTCAATAATCTTACTCTCCCAAAGCATCTTTCTTAAACTCTAATCTTTGCTGTTCCAATACTCAGACAGTGGCCGTTGAGCACTACAAGAAGAATTAGGTAATCGTATCTAATTGTGTTCCTTCCGACTGTTATTTAAACAAGGAAAGCCTTTCAGTTGTTGTGGAAAGTATTAACAGCAGACCTTTGCTGACCTTCTAGAGCCATTGGGGAAAACTTGACATTACACAGAAGCTTACTCAAACAAGCTATAATTAAGTTGAGAGTAGAGTGACACCACTTACAAGAGAAAACTAAGTATGGCCATTTAATCCAAAAATTACTTAAGGACTCCCGGGAGTACAAAAGTTTATCTCTACTAAAATAATTATGTTTTGCCATTAGATGAAGAGAGGGTACAAATGGAATATGCATGTTCTTTTCAACAT